ACTCAGTATGTTCAGTAACTGCTCTGAAGGTTTAACAAGTATAAAGCTCTAAAAGGTGTGTAGTGATGAGATGCGAGACTCCTGTTTCTCAACAGGTGAGATGACATCCGGTCACTCTGAAGCTCCTGCAGCTTATTCAGAGACTGGAATGCAGAAACAGTGCGTTCTCAGTGAAGAACCCAGACAGACGCAAGAGGCTCTGTCTGCTAATGAAGAAGAGCAGCCAGGTCCCCAACAACCAGAGGGCCGAACTGTGTTAAAGCTTTCTTTTAGCGAGGATCACAGTTTCTGCAAAGCCCCCTCTGGTGAGGATCAGAACATGTCTGACTTAACTGCATCTAATGAGCAAAGCTTCTCTGAATTAACTCTTCCACATGAGTCAAACGTTAAGGAAACATCACAGGAGTCCACAGTAAGTGAACAAGGTAGCTCTGACATGCTGGCCTTTGAAGACGATGAAAAGATGGATAGTTCGTGCTGTAGTGACGGGGAGATTGAACCGTCAACAGATGAGGAGTTAAGGATGTGGCGATATCCTCAAAGCACAGCGTGCATGGAGGAAGAATCCGCCATAGATGAAGTACACGAAGCATGTGTGAAGGACGTGCAAGGGGAATCATCCCAAATGAACAAAGAGAAGACAGATGAAAATGAACCCACTGACATCCAGGATGATGGTCCACGTTCTGATGTCTCTACTAAGACCGCTGGCTGTTCTGAAATACAAAAAGATGACAAATTCAAACCAGAAAGCTGTTTAGAAAACTCAATGAGAGGGGAGTGTACTTTAGACCGAGACGAAGAGAGCACGGAGTCATGTAAAGAAGGTAGTCAGGGTCTACTTACAGCAGATAGTGATGTTCTTACAATAAAACGAGAGCAGAAAGACATGGAACTATGCAGTCATGATGATGATGCAGCTGAACAGTCAAAGGAAACCCAGACAGTCTGTATCAAAGAAGAGTCAGACAGCGGAGGCTCAGATGGAGACAAACGAGCATTGCCTACTTCTTTTGAAAATGAACAAAATGAGCGTGCGGGACTAGAGAGAAATCTAGAAAATGAGGCTCAACCTGTGGTAAAGCCCCAGGGCACATTAACAGAGGCTGATGGAGCTCAGACCTCAGCAGAGATCCAGCCATGTGATCACCTGGAGGTGGGGCAGGAATCTGTAGATGAAAGGGTGAATCTTGACGTTAGTCTGACAGAAGACACTCGCAAGCGAGGAGAGAGCTCGAAGAAGGTTTCCTTTATTCTGGAGCCTGAGTTCATCAACAGCTCAGGGGTGTCTGACAACAATACCTCTACAGAAACCGCCCTGTCAGGTGAGGGCAGTGTGAGCACCTGGGCCACCTGACACTTTAGGAGAGGTGGAAACACACGGGTGAAAATGTCTGTTGGACATGAGGTGCATGTTTTGAAAGTCCATGGTGCACAAATACACGGGTGTTTTTTGTCTAGATTGAACAATTACAATTATTTCATCAGAGCTGTGCTGAGAAGAACGTACGAAATTATTTGTTTGATGTCTAAAACACAGATTTGCTATTTGCACAGAAGCATTTGAAGTGTCGGAAAATGATTCAAAGTGATTTCATACATTTGTGATATTTTTCAGATACTGAAGTGAGCTTTCGCGACGAGACCAACACTGGTGAAATGATCGATCAGATGTTCGAGGAGGTGCTCGAATATGCTGAAAGGATGGAAGGCCCTGAGGATCACGACAGTGGTATTGGGGCTTGCTCCGTCGAAATCGATAAGATGGAGACGGAGAAGGAAAAAAGTGAAGAAGAGGGAGAGGCCAAAGAGGAGAAGAGTGATGAGAGTGATAAGGTTGATGGCATCAGGGATGAGCTGCTCAACTTTCCTCCCACTGGCATCCTCTCTCCTCTCAGCAAGTCTGTAGAGGCTGTGGTCACCCCACTGGTAAGGTTTATTCCAGTCTAGAGAAGCTACACTCAGAAGCTGAAAGAGTTGGTGTCCTCCACTAGCAGACAGCATTAACGAG